ATACGTGGGCACAGAGAAGTAAAACAACCAAAATTTTAAGTATTAGTTATGCAACAGAACTGCTGAACATACATTACTGAACATGTTTAGTTTGAGTGACAGAGATCAAAGTAACTTCGGAAATCTTTAATGTATGCAAGGACATATGATTTATTTATTTCTTGAAAAAAACAAAGGATTCTGGCGGGTAATAATCTTTCAGTTTACTATGATCGACGGTTCTATCATGAAATTCAATGATGGTAGCCCCAGTGTCTAAAGTACTTGATATAAATAAAATTATTTCACAAAGAATGTTACTGTCTGTTTGAAAAGATGCACAAAATAATAGCATAGCAGTCACATGATTCGAAAACTTACATTCAAAGAAGTTCAGTTCTTTAAACTTTTAAATCTCTAAAATTTTTAATGCAGGTATAGAAGTTACGAATGTGAAAGATGGATCATCAGTGAGAAACAAAAACCGTTCAAACGTTGGAAACGCGCAGTGCTACAGCATACTGTTGCAAATCTTCATGAGAACCAATTCATGGGCTGTAAAGCTGCTGCGTATTCAACCTCTAAAAATACCCTAAATGAAAACCTCAACTCTGGGTTACTGTATGAGAAGGAACAACGACTTCTCAATAACCAGCTCTACAACGCAGAAGTTTAAGATAAAGATCAAAAGAGAAACAGCTACACTGGAGAGATAACACTACAGAATTAACATAATTGACAAGAAGAACAACTATACGTCCTGCTGCACACTTCTGGAACATAAGATACTTTACTGGTTACGAATGCAAAAATTTTAAGACTTATCCAGAAATTCATGGTGTTAGACTTTAGCCCACAGTTTTGTTTATGCATGATCATCATCAGCCTTTCACGATCCAGGGCTGGATGAAGGGCTTTGCAAAACTTAGCAACTGATATTGATTAGGATAATCATTTCACTTCATTCTGCCGTCGATCAGGAAGTTTTCCTACGTCTATTCACTCTCTCTTGAAAACCAATCTTAACGCCTCATTGGTCCACTATAGTCTTGCAACATATTCCATCTACTGCCACTTTAACTTCTTCTGTCAAGCAATGACATTCCAGAATTGTTACCCATGCTTCCATACATTCATTCGCCTTCCTATCATTTCTTGTTATTTCCAGCATATATCTTACAGCCTGCAGTTTATGAACAGTTTCCAGAGACTTAGAACAGATATTTCACAACCATACTTTGGCATGCTGGGAGCACACAATGATAGACTACCTTGTTTCAAGCATAAGGGCAGTTTTTCAGAAAAGATTTTTTGTCGTCCATAAATGCTCCATGCCATTTCTATTCATCCGTTAATTTCACAGTATGTTCTCTACTGCAGAGATGAGCTGTTCCAGAGAGATGTAGTTTAGCACTTCTCTAAGACTGTTTAATTCAATAGATCGAGCGGTCAGGCATTTGTAAGACGTAACAAGTCTTCGTCAAGGTCATTCATTTTCAGTCATACTTCGACGATGGTGCCGTTCAGGTTTTAAAATCTTCTTTGAAGTTTTTCTGGCGACCCTGTAATCAGAATATCGTTTGGTAACTCCAGATGGTTTAAACAGTGCCTGTTAATGTTCAGCCAGTGAATTTAGCAACGGAATGTCTTGCAAATCTCTTCCAGAGATGCAGTGAATACCTTCAAAAACATCGCGTAACCCAATCTGACGCCCTATACCATGTTAAACTCACATTTGCTTTCATGAAGCCTCACAGTAGCAGTTGCATTTTTGTAAATAATTGTAATATGTGTCTGTATCTTTGCTCGATTTCCTAGTTCTTCAAGGAATCCAGTACAAAAAAGCATGTAGACTCAGATAATGCTCTTCTCGAAATCGAAGAATCCTAGGCAATGAGGAATGTTATATTTCTAATCTGTCTGAATTACTTTTTATACCACACGCAGATGATCCATCGTGCTAAATGCCCCTTCGAAGCTCAGGTAGCTTCTTCAACTGTACAGTATCCAGTTGTCCATGAAGTCTGTTCGTCACTAGCTCCGAGAAACTCCTGCAGAGGACTGAGAACAAACTGATCGCCTGTAATTTCTCACATCCTTGCGGTCTTCGATTCTGTACACTAAAATCACTGATGCAGTAGCCTAATCATCTGGAAATTTCGGTTCCTTCAGACAGCGTGAAAACAAGCGAGGTATCATCTTGATCAGTGATTCACCTCCTGATTCTATGACTCCTATTGCAATGCAGTCTTCGGCAGGAGTTTTTCCTCGTTTGGTTCATTTCACCGCAAGTCGCAATTACGGCAAGATATCTGAAAATTTGCCTGCTTTATCTGTATCTCCAGGTTCCTTATCGTCACCTATGGTGCTGCCATTTCATCTTTGTGCAGATTTCAATGGAATTCTTCCACTCCGTTTAGAATCTTTTACCTACCCCTGATGACACTAGTCTTCTGCTTTGTCAGGAGCAATCTGTCGCCTTCCGACCGTGAATCTTTGATCCGACTTTTTCATGCTTCGGTTGTTTTCACTAATTTCCTTTACCAATCTACAGTTGAATGCCTGGAATGTCATGTTTCTTGTATTCCGTAGGTTTGATCTGGTTATACATGTCCAATCTTTGGTTTCCAATCTGTTGCTACGTTCATCTTTTAGTTTCTTTATGAGTTTGTTCGCTTGCTTCGCGACTTTCCGGTCGCATTGCATGACCCTTGTTCCTGGATACTTTCCGCCATATCTGAACTCGCCTTCATTATGTCCTGATATATTATGTTCAGGACAGTGCTTGCTCTATTTTTACTTTTTGCATTCCGTGAAGGACGTCTAATCAGCTATATAATTTGAACTGGAATGCATAGGGATACAATATTAAATTCGATTATAATGCACTGTTACGCAATACATAAGTATATAGCGGCAACATCATATCCGCCTTATTTAACAGATCTGCACCAAAAACGATGTAAAATTTAAAATGGATAAGTATATTTGGGATTGAATTTAAGATAAAGCTTAATAATTTTGTAAAAGGCAGCATTTTAAAAGCTGCATATACGAATATATAGCTGTAATGACGAATACAGAAGCTGTATATATGAATATAGCTGTATATAAAAGCAATTATAAGATGACAACATCAAATGGTTATACGAAGGTCGATGAAATTACCCTGGCAACGACCTGCATTATTCTAGAATGTAATCAAACACGTGAATTCTTAAGTCAGCAGTACGCTTGACTAAGATCGATTGCATGAATTAATATATCGCCACCCTCCTTACTAGTAGATATTTAGAGAACCATTTATGCAAGCCACTGCTTCACGGCACTTCAGAATCTGCAGCACATAGATACCTTTAGCTTCTTTTCATTGGATAAAGCAATTATCAGTTCTCTGCTGATGATGCATCACAAA